CCGCGCTCCGGAGAACCGGGGCCGGGAAAAGGGAGAGGGTTCGCCGCGCCTCGGCGTGCCGGTGCCTGGGCCGCGGAGGGGCTAGGAGCCCGGCGGGAGGAATCATAGAATCACTTTGGTTGGAAAAGATCTTTGAGATCATGGAGTCCAACCTTTAACCTAACCCTGCCATCCCACCACTAAACATCCTTCTTTTAAATACCTCCAGGGATGAGGACTCTACCACCTCCCTGGGCAGCCCATTCCAGAGCCTGACAACCCTTTCGGTGAAGAAGTTTTTCCTAATGTCCAACCCAAACCTGCCCTGGCGCAGCTTCAAACCATTCCCCCTCGTCCTATCATCTGTTACCAGGGAGAAGAGCCCGACCCCCCCGGCTCCCCCCTCCTCTCAGGCAGTTGTAGAGGGCGATCAGGTCTCCCCTCAGCCTCCTTTTCTCCAGCCTAAATAACCCCAGCTCCCTCAGCTGCTCCTCATATGACTTGTGCTCCAGACCCCTCCCCAGCTTTGTGGCTCTCCTCTGGACATGTTCCAGCAATGCAACATCTTTGGAACAGCCAGCTCTCCCCTTGGCCCTGCCCCAAAGGCTTTTTCCATCCCCCTTTCGGGTCCCCTCTAAATAGAAGGGGGAGGCAGGAGTAGGAGGGCTCCCTGCATGTCGGACCCCACTCACGCAGAGCCCTCTTTCCATGACTCCCTTCCTCCATGAGGACCTGCTGTGTTCATGCCTCCCTCCCCTCCTCCGTGCATCTTCATTCACAGATTCCCGGAGTATCTCCCCCCAACATTCACAGCCACCCTGTACGCACCCATATCCTGCATGTGCAAGCACCGGCGTGCAGGACTTCATGCATGGATCTCCTGCATGCAAACCCCCCTGCAGGCACAAACCCCCTGCATGCAAAACCCAAGCATATAGGGAACCAACTTCATAGAATCATACAATCACAGAATGTTTTGGGTTGGAAGGGACCTTTTGAGGTCACCCAGTCCAACCCCCACGCAGTGAGCAGGGACGCCGCTAACTAGATCAGGTTGCTCAGAACCCCGTCCAACCTGGCCTGGAATGTTTCCAGGGATGGGGCCTCCACTACTTCTCTGGGTAACCTGTTCCAGTGTTTTACCACCCTCATTGTAAAGAATTTCTTCCTTAGATCCAGTCTAAACCTACCCTGGTTTAGTTTAAAACCATTACCCCTTGTCCTGCCACAACTTCCTGAGCTGTTTACCAGAGCCTAAATGGGATTAGAAGACACACAGGGTCAGGAAGTTTGAAGGTATGAGGGCCCAGCAGCTGGGGTGGCATGGGACAGCCTGTGCTGCATGGCAGGACGGGTCTTCAGGGCTTAGCACAGTCCACCAGAAAGGTTTGTTGGAGTGG